GAACATCACAACGGTCTGGCCACACCAGGGTGCGCCACCATCTGATAGGGGACGGAAGATGACATAGACATAGATCCCCGCTGAATCCCGCGCTGGGTCCCCCCCCCCTGGCGCGCGGAGCGCGCCACGGGCGGTGCCAGAGGCGCAGCCAGGGGTTTCCAGCGCCGATCCGAGAGATCCGCGCGGACCTCCGAATTTTTACGTTCGTGCCATTGTTCGTTCCCCTATTTGAGGCCGTGCACCAGCTGCTTGCCGAGCACCGCTGGAGGCAGAGAAGCCTCCTCGTGGCGCCACGGGGCGTCGATGGTCGGACGGAGGAGGAGGAGGAGGAGGAGGAGGAGGAGGAGGAGGAGGAGGCGGAGGAGGAGGAGGAGGCGGAGGTGGGGGTAGGGGGGAGGTAGGGAGGGGAGGAGGAGTGAGGGAGGGGAGGATGAGGAGGAGGAGGATGAGGAGGAGGAGGAGGATGAGGAGGGGACGTAGGAGGAGGGAAAGGAGGAGAGGAGGAGGAGGAGGAGGGAGTGGAGGAGGAGGAGGAGGAGGAGGAGGAGGAAAAGGAAAAGGAACATGAGGAGGAGGAGGATGAGGATGAGGAGGAAGAGGAGGATGAGGAGGAGGATGAGGAGGAACCGAGTGCCACCGCGAAGTCAGCCAGGATCGAGCAGGGCGTGCTGGCGGACAAGCGTGACAAGGCCTAGAGGTTTTACGACAGGGTTCAGGAGAATGCGCTGGCCGCGTGCGCCCATGTAGCTAAGTGCAAAGCCGAGCTGGCTCATGCGCTGGCGGCTGCCCAGGCCAAGGCGGCCAAGGCCTACTCGGCAATGGCGGCGAAGGAGGACCCCGTGCAGCAGCTCCAGAGCCTGGTGGCCGCGCTGGAGAAGGACGAGCGCCTGCAACAAGTGGCTGTAGGCCTTGCTGCTTTGGTGCAGCCTCTGCGTGACGCTGCTGGCCCCATGTCCGAGGACGTGGCCATGGGCGGTGGCGGTGGGGCTGGCGCAGGGGACCGCGGCGCCGAGGGCGACGGCGATGCTCCAGCGCGAGACGCTGCCGATGCCCAGGCAGCTGCCGCCGCCGCCGCGCAGGAGGAGCTGCGGCGTGAGGCCGCGCGGGCGGCTGCTGCACAGGCTGCCAAGCAGCGGGCCGATGTAGCCTGCGCTGAGCTCCTGGCGTGGTTGGCTACAGCTCAATCCGACGATGGTTTCCTCAACTCACCCGTGGAGCATGGGTATGCGACCATATGCACAGTGCAGCTATCAAGAAGTTCAAGTCCGCCGCTTCCGCAGCGAATGCCTCAAATGATCTTTAGCAGCAGCACGTGGGCTTTGGTGATCAGCAATGTAACAGGGCTCGTCGGATTGGAAACGCTGCTCCAGAACGGCAGGGTCTTAACTAACAGCGGCGGTGCAGTGCAGGATCATCACTTTTTGCAAGGACAAGCGCATGATTGGGAAAACAAGTTAGCAAAGCGAGGATGGCGAGCTTGTTTCGAGGCCGAGGTGGCCACGGTACAGGGTGGATCAAGTGGTGGGCTTACGCATATGGTGCCCACTCCAGTCGGGCTTTCGGAGGTCGAGCACATCGCGCGATCCTGGGTGCCAGGCAGAGTCTCACTGATGCATTCGACAGGTGTCACATCGGCTGGGCTTCTGCGGGTCAGCGTGTACTTCCGCGTTGGCGAAGGGCTATCGGCTCAGAGTTAGAGCATTCTCGCCAATATTGGTGACGCCGTCAAGCTTGCAGGACGACCTTGTGTGATATCTGGTGATTTGGCCGGCGGTCTTGGACGCCGCCGTGATAGGCCCTACTGATGGTCGACATCAGGCCGCAGCAGTGACAAGCTCGTTTGGGTCCAGGCCGCCAATTCGGAGTGGGCCGCCTCTCGAGAGAAGAAACTCTCTAAACCACCTACGCCCAGAGGGCTGGTGGGATTGCACACGGCGCTGAGGCGAGGGCCACATCGTGAAAACGATCCGCCCTCAACCCATGAAGTTCCTGCATTTGCTTCAACAAGTGTGCGCGGCGCTGAGGCGAGAGCTACATTTTGGAAGCGACCCGCTCTCCAACTGCGATATTGTTGCCAGTTTTGACGCTTCGGGCTCGTATCTGGTAAGGAAGTCTCAGGCGAAGCGCCTGGCCCGCCGGTCCGACTGGCCTTGGGGTGCGACACGGAGGAGTGATTCATAAGGAAAAGAAATGAGGGACCCCGACCGCGATGACGGTGGCGGCGGCCGCGGCGTGGGCGCGCCCGGCGGGGGTGGGGCGCTTCGGCCTGGCCCCAGGGGACGCCGGTGCTGTTCCGGACGGCGGCAGGCGGGCCTTCCTTCTGCTCCGCGCGGTCGTGGGGTCGTCGTCGTCGTCGTCGTCGTCGTCGTCGTCGTCGCCGTCGCCGTCGCCGTCGCCGTCGCCGTCGCCGTCGCCGTCGCCGCCGTTGTCGTCGTCGTCGTCGTCGTCGTCGTCGTCGTCGTCGTCGTCGTCGTCGTCGTCGTCGTCGTCGTCCCTCCTCCTCGTGTTCAGTGTAGCGAGCTCAGTGTTAAAGACGCTGTGCAATGCTTGGGCCAGTACTCGTCGGTTCCGTGCGGGCCGTGCTGGATGCAGGTTTGGTTGCTATGCAGTAGGAGGAGACGACATCCTCCATTATTTTGTGTGCCCGAATCTGGTCCCCCGTGTCCGTGAGTGTCTTCCACGCCTTCCCCCGTGCTGGGGTACGGATCCTATCTCCTCCTTTGTCCTCGCGCTTGTCCCTCTCATCGATTCCGATTGCCTGCTCAGTGTCGGTCTAGCCATAGATGGCTTGCATGCCACTTTCAACGCCCAGAGGTCTTCTGGGTCTGTCGGTCCCAGGTCAGCCCGGCTTTCACTGTCTGCCCGACTGCGGGCTCAAGCAGTCCGATGCTCTGTAGCACGACCTCTAGCACGAGGTCTTCGAAGCGCGGGGTTGGACGGTTAGCGGACGGACGTTCTTGCCCTCTTCTCGCCCTCTTGCCCGCTCGCCCTCGTCTCGTTCTTCCAAGCCGAGTCATGTGTCGTCCCTCCTCCTCGTACTCCCTCCCTCCCTCCCTCCGTCCTTTTTCTCCTCCTCCTCCGTTCTCCTCTTCCCTCCTCCTCGTCCTCCTTCCCCTCCTCCTCCTCCCCTCCTCCTCCTCCTTCCTCCTTCCTCCTCCTCCTCCTCCTCCCTCTCTCTCTCTCTCTCTCTCTCTCTCTCTCTCTCTCTCTATTCCTCTCCCCTCCTGCCTCCTCCTTCCAGCCTCCTCCCTCCCGCTTCGCCTTACCTCTCCGCGGCTGGGGCGAGCACGAGGGGGGGGGGGAAGGGAAGGGGGGGGGAGAGGGGGCGGAGGGACGGGGACGGGAAGCGGGAGGAGCGACGGGATCGGGAGCGGGTGGAGCAGGGGCGGGGCGGAGGCGAGGCGTGAGAGGCTGATGCTGGCAGGGGCGGGCCTTGGGGGCGCGGCCCCGTCGCAACGGCGTCGTTCATGAGCCCGCTGTGCGTTGCCCCTTTCTGAATCCGCGGTGCCTGGGGGGGAGGGCGGGGGGGAGGCGCGCTGCGCTTCTTGGAGCAGGAAGAAGCTTGCCTGGGAACGCGGAGGCTCCATGTGATCCGCGGCGAGTCCCTTGGCGCGTCCCGCGCCGTGCCCCGTGGCGTGACGGGAGCGTCCCAGAGGAGCGTCCGAGCCGTGACGGGAGACGCGGGGACGAGTCTTCCTCTTCCCGCTCCTCTTCGCCCTGCGTATCACATGTTTGAGGTCACGGCTTCCGCGCCATGCCTTGATGGGCACGGGCGGGCTCCCCAGAGGAGCGCGCGTCCGACTCTGGCGTTCGCTTCGCTTCGCCTCCTCCTCGTCCTCCTCGCCCTCCTTCCGGGCCTTCCTAGCTGAGAGGCAGGACGGGATGAGGGGACTGAGCGGTCCTGCACTCCTTGGTGCGGACTCGTCCTGCTCTCCTTCTTGTTGCCGGCCCCACTCGCCCCACGACCCACCCCCGACCTCCTTCCACCTGCGGAGCACTCTCGGCCCGCCCCGCGACCCAGCCGCGACCCGCCCCGCGACCACCACTATGCTTCGGTAGAACGGTCGGCGCCTGCGGCGGGCTCGGTGAGTGGCGTGATGAAACCAAGGACCGACCACAACGATGTTTCGCTTGCTTTAGGCCCTCGTTTTGTTTCTCGTTTCGGGTTTCGTTGTTATCTTTCTTCGTTTTCGCTGTTGGTTTGAGCGCCCCGTTTCGCCGTTCGTTTTCGTTTGGCACCGGCTTCGTTCTAAACGTTCGTTTCCAAAGTTGTGTTTCGTTCTGTTCTTCGTTGTCCGCGCCATTTCGTTTGAAACATCGCTGTGGTTTGTCCTTTGCCAAACAAGCGCGGCCAATGCTGGGCTTCTTCACGCTTGCTCTCGAGATCGTCGCAGACTGCCGACGACCCCGCGCTCCCCCCTCACTCAATCCACAACACCTCCAGGCCACAACCTTCGATGGTCGTTCACCGGAGCCTTGGGCGCCGACATTGAATTCAATTTTTCCTTCATTTGAAACGCATTGGGACCGCCTTTGGCCCTTCTTCCTGCTCCTCCTCGCCTCTCCTGTTCCTTCCCCCCTCGTTGTTCTCGTCTCCCTTATAAACGGGCGAATCCCTTCCAAATCTGGTCCCAGCTCAGGCCCAGATCTGACAGCGCCAGGGGCCACATAGGCTCCCATGGAACGGTCACCAAACCAATATATACTCCGAGCCCCTCTCCCTGCTTCAACTTGGACGGGGCTAGGACTTGGACGAGGATAAGTCCGTTCCAGAGCGTTCCATCACGCTCTGCGAAGGCCACGGCGCCTGAGATATCCTTCAGAGCCGCCGTGGCATTTAGGACTCGGCTTCTCTACAGCGTCTCATAGTCCTTCTCATCCTCATCCTTATTCTCATTGTCATCCTCATCGTAGTCCTCATCCTCCTCCTCATCCTCCTCATCATCATCAGCATCCTCATCGTCATCGTCGTCGTCCTTGGTAGCCTCCTTCCTCTCGATAGCCTTAGGTGGCTCAAGCCGCGCTTCTCTGCGCGGGAAATGGTTGCGGGACGCTGAGACCAGCTCGCGCACCAGACCAGGGCCTGCAAGAGCCATGGACTTCAAGAGCATCCAGGAGTGCGAGAGCAACCTGGCGTTCGCCAAGGCGTCCGGCGACGTCTTGCTGGAGGCAGCCGCGACCCTGGACTTGGCGAAGGCTCGGCTCCACGCAGGAGTGATCGTGCAGTGGAGTGACCCCTCCTCCTCCTCCTCCTCTCCTCCTCCTCCTCCTCCTCCTCCTCCTCCTCCTCCTCTCTCCTTTCTCCCTTCTCTTCCTCCTCCTAGTCCTCCCTCCTCCTCCTCCTCCTGCCTCCTCCTCCTCCTCCTCCCCTCCTCCTCCTCCTCCTCCTCCTCCTCCTCCTCCTCCTCCTCCTCCTCCAGCGCGGCCCTCGGGGATACGGGGGGGAGCAAGACCAGGCCGCTGTTGTCGCATCGCATGCGGCGGTCGGCAAGCCGCGCACCGGAAGCTCATGCTGGCCTGGGGTTACCCGTGCGTGCAGCCGAAAGGCGCACGTCGCCAGCCTCGTCAAGAAGCTCGGCAAGTGCTCGGTGCCGTCCTCGGAGGACTCCATGGAGGCACTGAAGAGGGCCAAGGATCGGAGGGCCAGAGAAGCGATCAAGAGCACGCATTCATTCCCCCAGGGCGTCCTCCAGGCGGCCGTTCCGCCTGTGCCAGAGGCCGCGGACGACGCGGAGGACGACGACGTGGACGACGGCGACGACAAGGCGGCGACGACGACGACGACGGCGACGACGGCGGCGACGACGACGACGACGACGACGGCGACGACGACGGCGACGACGACGACGACGACGACGGCGGCGACGACGACGAACGACGACGAACGACGACACGGCGACGCGGCGTCCTCCCGAGCAGGACGCCTTCACGCTCTCGTCGTCGGCGGGCAGCAGGGAGGGCGGGGAGGAGGCCGCACACGTCGCCGGACTGGTGCTGACGTACAACGGGGTCCCCCCGCACGCGTACGAGATGTCCGCATCCGACCCGGAGGCTACTCATCGGCACTTCACACCGGGGCTCAAGAGACGGGGGTCAATGCAAACGGGGGATCGTGCAGAGCCAGGGTTGCACTGGCTTTGGTTTGGGCGCCGGATCCTGCAGGATCTTGCGGGATCCTGCAAAGCCTGGCTGACCCGGGTCTGGATTGATCCAGGTCAGCAGATCCCCGGACCCAAACGTTTCAAGCCTCCCAGATGGGATTCGGAGCAGAAGGGGTCGGAGGATCGCGCCGCATCGCCGATCATGCATCGGCGATGCGGCTCGATGTGGAGTCTGATTTTCTCCACGCCGACGGCGCCGATGCATCGCTTGCGTCGCGGATGCATCGCCGATACATCGCCGATGCATTGGCGACCCGGCGCGATCTTCCGACCCCATCTACCTGGAACCATTGGGGAGGCCTCTGAACATCAGAGTGAGGGGGCCGAACAGTCATTCATTGTCCCTGGGTGCGTGGCTGAAGTGGGATTCTGAAGTTCGGATGATTGTTGTTGGTGGTGTTTTTGTTGTTGCTGCTGCTGCTGCTGCTGCTGTTGTTGTTGTTGTTGTTGTTGTTGTTGTTGTTGTTGTTGGTGTTGGTGTTGGTGTTGGTGTTGGTGTTGGTGTTGGTGTTGGTGTTGGTGGTGTTGTTGTTGCTGCTGCTGTTGTTGTTGTTGAACTTTCATTTCTGAGGAATAATTATTGTTGATCCCCCCTCACCGGTGCATACTGTTGTTTCTCAATCAAAGTGTGCCCCTCGACGCTCGCACCCTGTTTCTCGACAGGGAAAGTCTTGATGCTCAAACTGCGCCACTGGCACCCCGGATTACAACAACAACGGCTCCCGCCTGAGACTTCCTCCAAATTTACTCAGGACCCCCGCTCCCGCCTGAGAATTCTTCACAATTTACTCAGGATCGGTGCTCCCGCCTGTGACTTCCTCGCAATCTAGTCAGGAGCCCCGCTCCCATCTGAGACTTCCTCAAAATTTATTCAGGAACGGCGCTCCCGCTTGAGACTTCCTCGCAATTGAGTCAAGACTTCCTCGCAATTTTATCAAGACCCCCGCTCGCGCCAGAGAACCCCTCACATTTTATTCAGGAATTGCGCTCTCGCCTGTGACCTCCATGCAATGTATTCAGAAATCGCGCTTTCGACGCTCAGGAAACACGCTGCGCCAAGGACGCCGTCACAATTTACTTAGGAATCGCGCTCTCGCCATACTCAGGCATCCCGCTTGAATGTCCCACCCGCCCGACCCGCCCGTCAGGGGATCGCCGGTCCGTCGTGGGCTCCCGCCCGAGACTTCCTTCAGGAACGGCGCTTTCGCCTAGGACTTCCTCGAACGTTCACGCTCTTACCTTCCTGCTCCTCCTCCCTCTCCCTCCTCCCTCCTCCCTCCTCTCCTCCCTTCTCTCTCCCTCCTCTCTTCCCTCATCCTTATGCCTCCTCGCCCAATCCCCTCTCCCTCCTCTCCCTCCTCCCTTCTCCCTCCCCTCTCCTGCCTCCTCCCTCCCTCTTTCTAATACGCGTTGCAAGTAAGGAAGACATGTACCCCCAAGGGGAGTTCGATCAACGACGAACAGGGCGGGTACCGAGGGTTTGGGATATACGTGTTGAAGTGCCCGCGAACAGGTAATAACAAACAGTTTTAACATGTTTGTTGTTGTTGAACTCTGGTTTGTCAAGATTTTGTTTGATCCCCCTTTCGGGGCACATTGCGTTTTACAATTGAACTGTCTTTCCCGATGTTCGCACCCGGATTTTTTTCAAGGGAAAGCGAGGGGTCACCAAATCGGGCCCTTGGCCCCCGAGGCACAACAACGACGGCTCCGCCTGATACTTCCCCACAATGTATTCCCAAATCGTCTTCTCGCGCGGGACTTCCTAGCAATTGTTGTTTCTCTCGCGCTCTCGCGTGGTATTTCCTTGCAATTAATTCAGACGCCGCGCCTACGACACTCAGGAATCAGGTTCTCGCTTTGGCTTATCTCACGATTTACCTGGGAATCGCACTACCGCTCGAGATGTCCTCGCGATTCATGCAAGACGCACGCTTCAGCAATCCGCCTGTTCGACCTGGCCGCCCGGGCCCGCCTTGCCCACCCGCCTGTTGGGGTCTACCCGCCAGATTTGCCCGTCTGGTTCTGCCACGTGTTTTCTGTTCATAGCTCCTTCTCCTGCTATTTTCTCTCGTGTTCCATCCTCCCTCCCCCTTGTCCCTTTATTTCATCGTGTCTCTCTCTCCCTGCCGTAGGGGCTGCACACAAAACACGCTGCAGCTAAGAAAGGTATGCCCCAAGGGAGTACGATCGACGAAGAGGGCGGGTATCGAGGGTTTGGTATATATACGTGTTGAATGGCACGCGAGCAGATGCGAGCGAACAGTTTTGGGTTGATTGTTGTTGTTGTTGGTGGCGGTATTGTTGTTGCTGTTGGTTTTGTTGCTGTTGTTGATGATGGCGATGTTGTTGGTGTTGGTGTTGGTGTTGGTGTTGGTACTGTTGCTGTTGCTGTCGTTGTCGTTGGTCGTTGTTGTCGTTGTTGTTAGTGTTGATGTTGTGGTTGTTGTTGCTGTTGTTGTTGGTGTTGCTGCTGCTGTTGCTGCTGTTGTTGTTGTTGTTGGTGGTGGTGGTTGGTGATGTTGTTGTTGTTGTTGTAAGTGTTGATGTTGCAATTGCTGTTGCTGTTGTTGCTGTTGTTGTTGTAGTTGATGCTGCTATTGTTGTTGTTATCGTTGTCGCTGTCGTTGTTGTTGTTGTTGCTGCTGCTGCTGTTGCTGTTATGTCCTGTTTGCTGCTTGTTGTGTGATGTGTTTTTGTTTGTTGTTTGTTGTTTGTTGTCTTCGTCCCACCCGCGACCCAGCCTGCAACCCACCAACTTGCTTTGACGACAAATTCGCCGCCTGCGGCGGGCTCGTTGTATAATCTGTTAAGAAATCGGCGCCTGCGGCGGACCTCTTCACAGCTTCGCAGACTGCCGACGACTGCAATTGCGGGGGTTACATATATCGTGCCCCGAGCTGCATGGCCAGAGTGGTGGGGGCGGCGGGGTCGTCGGCTGTCTGCGAGGCGTAGAAGCCCGCCGCAGGCGCCGGCTTTCAAACAAATTATACAGCGAGCCCGCCGCAGGCGCCGAATTTGTCGTCAAAGCGGGTCGCGGGTGGGTCGCGGGTGGGTCGTAGGTTGCTTCGCGGGCGGGACGACGACAACAAGCAACAAACAACAAACGAGGAATAGCAAAGAACAAACAATGCAGCAACATCAACAACAACAACACCATCAATACCAAAAACACCACCACCACCACCACCACCACCACCACCAACAACAACAACAACAACGACAACCGCAGAATCCCAATTCAGCCACGCACCCAGGGGCAGTGTACTAAATGTCGTACTACATGTTCGGGTCGGACGTGCGCCTCCAACAGAGGCACTCAGGCTACTAGCAGGTCCTCACGCGTCCCAGTCTAAGGCCTCCTCCTCCTCCTCCTCCTTCACCCTCCTCCTCCCCCCTCCTCCCTCCTCCTCCCTCTTCTTCCTCCTCCTCCTCCTCCTCTACTCTAAGGCCTCCTGGATGGGGTCTGCATACGCGAGTTCGAAGGATCGCACCGCGTCGCCGCTGCACAGTCGACGTCGCCGTTGCATCGCCGATGCGTCGTTGATGCACCGGCGATTCAGTGCGATCCTCCGACTCTATTCAGCCACGCGCAGAGGGGGGTGCGGGGAGGGGGGAGGGCTTCTCAGGAGCACCCCTGCTTCTTAGAGGGCGCGGGCCTTGTCTATAGATGTCAGGCCGGCACCTTCTAAGAAGCAGCCTCCTTCTGAGAAGCCCTCCCCCTCCCCCCACCCCCTTGTGCGCGCTGCCAGCCTATCTGACTGCTCGGACCCCGTCTGGGGGATGTCTCTAAAGAGGTGCTGCAGAGATAGACGCCAGCCCGGACCTCCGACGACGCGGGTCTTTTTCCCAGAAGTGGCCCATGGGCGCAGGGACCGCTTGCCTGTCGAGAAATTCTCTGTAAGCTTGTCTCCTGGTTCCATGTTGTGGCTAGCATGTTCGCGCTCGATTGTGACAACTATGAAGATTTGTTGTCGGCCGGATATAAACGAGTTTCGCGCATGCCCGCTCTGGGAACATGCGGCCTAAGGTCGGACCCTCGATGAGTCATGGGGTCCGCAGACCCCGTCTTTCCTTGAAGACGGGGGTGCGGCATGTTTTGCGCAGGATCCTCGTGAGGGGGTGCGCTGTAACTTGCAGGAGGATTTTCGCAAGAACATCTCAAACATTGATTTTGTGAGTGCCCGCTCGAGGATGGCGCACGCCTCGCTCAGAATCGAGTCGAATGACCGCGTGTGGAGGCCCGAAGTCCCAGGATCCCATTGGGCACCCCTGGGTGCCCTTGGAGCGGGAGCCCTGGTTCATTCGCAAGAGATTGTGGCCTTGGGCAGGGCTCATTTGAATTTCTCCGATTCGATTCGATTTCGATGGATTCCGATTCCGATTCGATTCGACTTCGGATTCCGATTGGGGTCGGATTTCCCAATGGAAGCCTACAAACTTGCCGATGTCTACGTATTCGACTTTTCCCGACTCGGCTGCCGATTTCAACCGATCCGATTCATTTCGATCGCCGATCCGACTTATCGAGTTCTGGGCTCTCCTGCCTTGGCGCACGGACGCGGCAGAAATATGAAGCGATGATGGCCTCGGGTGCGCGGGCGCAGTGCAATTTACGAGGTGGCCTTGGGAGTGCGGACGCAGCGGGAATCTCGAGGGATTGTGGCGTGGGGTGTGCGGACGCAGCGGACATGTCTATGGATCGTGGCTCTTGGAGCGCGGACGCATTGTACTTCACGTCGGATCGGAGTGATTTGCAGTGGATCGTTGCTCGAGGAGCGCGGCCGCAGCGCAATTTATGATTGGCGCACCTCTCGGCTCGTCCTCTGGCGCTTCCCCTGCCCGTTCCGTGGCGCGTCCCCGGAATCGTCCCTTGCCATGTACCCTGTCGCGTCCCTTGGGACGTCCCTTGGCATGCCCCCTGGCACGCCCCTGGGCACGTCCCGTGGCAGGTCCCTCACACGTCGATGGCACGTCCCATGATACGTCCCTCGGCGCGTCCTCTGACGCAGGCCCTGGTGCGCCCCTGGCACATTCTGTGGCGCGTCCAGGCGCCCTGCACAGCCTGACGGTTCATCCCGTTTCGAAATTGAATCGGATCGTGAGTTCCAGTTGGTTGAGTGCCCCGCGCGTTTCTACTACAACCAGTCTTGTACGAGCCATGCGTTCAGGCACCTCGAGTTACAGATCCATGCCAGTTCGGTCCAGATATTGACGCCAAGGACGACTGCATCTGCAAAGCAACATAGAGAAGAGCACAGTTCAACACAACACGACACTGCACAGTTCAGCCGAGCACTACACAGCGCAGCGCAGCACAGCACATCCTTGGCCTCGGTAGAATTATCATGGATATCTTCGGCATTGCCACGGCCCATGGGCAAAGTTTGGGCAGTTTTGTATCCCTCTCTGGCTTCGTGGACCGATTATGTTTCATGGAGCTCAGGAAGCCCAGGTTTCAGTGTTCAGTGCCTCGTGGCGAAAAGCTAGCAAGGTTCATACTTCCTGGACTGCGTCGTCCAAGGCTGCAGCCTCTGCCTTGAAAATTGCCTTGGGGAGCTGTTGAGGCTAGCCCCGACTGCCTCTGGGGGTTGTCCGTGCGCACCCCCAAGCCGTGACAGGGCGGGCCCTTCACGTTTTCTAGCCTTGGCTTGTTCCCCTCGAGCTTTCCCAGGACCGGGCCGCCCTGACCACAGATCTCAGCTGTTTCCGGACTGTCCGGGTCCCGGCCAGTGCTTTCCAGCCCTGGCCGTTTCCACCCGTGGGTTTCTCGCCTGCAATTCTTGACGCTTCGCGTAACCTCCACCATTACTTTTTGGTGCTTCCGACGCTATTCATACTTGCACGATGGCAGTACGACTCAGTTTCAGCTGCCTTCACTCGCCGGTCCGCCGCTGGTCGCCGGTCTTCCCGATTACCTGCAGCTCCCGACGCGTTGCATGCGTGCACCCTGGCAGTACTGGTATTCAGCTACAGCCAGTCCCCTCCACTCGCCGGCCCGCCGGTGAGGTGCTGCGTGAGGCTCCGCCCCGCCGCTTTAGGTGAGGCTGCGCCCTGTCGCTTTAGGTTAATTCGTCGTGGCGTGCCCTGCTTTGACTGGACCCGCCGCTGGCGCGCTCGCCTGCGGCCGCTGACAAAAAAGTAACCTCCACCAGTTGGTTAATTCGTCGTTGCGTGCCCGGCTTTGACTGGACCCGCCGCTGGCGCGCTCGCTTGCGGCCGCTGACTAATAAGGAACCTCCACCAGCCAATCCAGCAAAGATGCCCAAGCAAGTTGCATTGATCAGGGAAGTGTGAGAGCACGCAGTGGAACGAAGAAAATGGTTTGCCGTCAAACCGAAGATTGGGATCAGCCTGGGCGGGCCTAGGAGTCAACCGTGATTTCCTTCGCGGATCTGTCGATGGGAGCGTCTTGGCAGGTTACCTGGGCCATTGTGGGGTCCTCTTGGGGCTTGGGGGCATTGGGAAGCCTTTTATGGCTCTCTTGGAGCTCCCTTGGCCCTTCCATATCGTCTTGCTCACCGTGGTCAGCACAGTCAACCGATGAGCAACTTCCGACGAGTCTTCTGTTATGGTTCTGAAGGACAGGGTGCGTATGTTACAGAATTCTCGTTGGAAGGAATGATCCAGCAACTTTATTTCTACCACTGAGTTGACGTAATTTACGTCGAACAGTGGATTTGCGGTTGAAGCGGATTGTGCCTGACAAGCAGGAGGTGATTGATGGAAACAGACACGTTGAATAGACCAGCGATCAAGGAAAGGCGCGCTGCTCTTGGGGCAATTTCGAGGGCCATCGATCAAAGAAAGGGGTGGTGGTGGGATGATTCGAGCTTCTTTGTGTTTTTTCGTCCCTCTTCATGTCGGTTTCGGAGCCGTTGCCATTATTCATTAGGTATGCTTCTATTTGCTCGGCGACGGGTCTGCTCTCCGGGGCACTGCTCCAGTGACAAAACCGAGCTGGAGCCACTCTGCGGACTTCCTGTCCCGTCTTCCCCGTCCTCCCGTCCCCCGTCCCCCTTCTCCCTTTTGCCGCCAGCTTGCAGGTGCTCTTCCAGGAGGTGATGGCGGGCAAGTACACGACCCCTCAGAACGCATTCCCGGCCCCCCCGATGCCCAGCAAGGGCTTCAAGCTCGACGAGGTCGTGCCATCCGTGAAGCAGCTCGACCACGCCAAGTGGGGTTGGTACAGCCCCCTGAAGGGCTACACTTACACCCTGACGTGGCAGGCTGGCTCGGTTTCGGTATCATCTCCCCTTCCTCCTTCCCTCCTTCTCTTCGGCTCAGTTTGTGGCACCCAGTCCCCACATCGTCTTCTGCCCGACACGGGGAGCTCTGCCCAGCGAGGTCGATGCACGTATGACGGCGTGCACTGGTGGAGCCAGCAAAGCGCAGATCCTAGTTCCAAGTTCGATTATTTCACCTCGCGCGCTGACGAGTGGGACGTCTGTCATGTGGCGGTGCTTGCCCTCTTGGTCACCTCCTCCTCTTCCTCCTCCTCCTCCTCCTCCTCCTCTTCCTCCTCCTCCTCCTGGCTGCCGTTTGGGCTCCCACGCGCGCGGGGGCGCGCGGCGGGCGCACCCATACGGCCCCGGCCGGCTGCCCGACGGCGGGCGCAGGCGATCTCGCAGCTGCGGGCGGCCTCGGGAGGCGAGACCCGTCGCCTGCTTGGTATTGCCGCCTGCGCAGGCGCCGTGCCAGCGCGCGGTAGACTCTCCGCGAGGCTGCCGCCAGGCGGCTGTTGCGGTCGCGCCACGGCGGCGCTTCCCCAGACGGTCCAGGGGCCACGCCGCCAGCGGAGGGAAAGGCATGGCCGTGCAGGGCGACAAGGCAGTGCGGGTTCCGCAACAACTATGCTACGAGGAACACGTGCTGGGCGTGTGGCAGAGACAGGGACGGCAAGCCTTCGGTCGCCCCCAAGCGCACGCCAAGCGCACCAGCGCGCAGACGCCAGCCCTCAAGGAACCAGGAGGCGCCCTGGCGCGATCGTGCTGGTCATGCTGCCGATACACCTCAGGCTGCTCCTGATGCGTCACCACAGCAGTCAGCCATCAGCCCGACTCCGGCACCGACGCCATCAGCAGAGACGCCAACACCGTTTCCGCCACCGAGACCAGCTGCATCGACTTTGACAAAGAGGACAGCAGGGTCGTTGCCAGCACCAACATCGCCGACGCCAGCATTATTGGCGGCAGCACCGACGCGTGCCCCGACTCTGGCACCGTTGCCCGCAGCATCGACGCCAGCACCGTCTCCAGCACCGACGCCAACCTCATTGACACCGCCTCTGAGGGCGGCAACAGCTCCAGAACCGTCGACAGCATCATCGACGCCAGAGCCAAGTCCACCAGCATCGAACTCAGCAGCAACACTTCCGGCACCGTCGCCCGCGGCACGGACACCAACAGTAGTGACCTTGGCACCGACTGGGACACCGACTCTAACAACGGGGACGCCGGCACCGACACCAGCGCTGACGTCATCACCATTTTCGCCGCCGCCGATTTCAGCGCCGAGCGGCAGCTGCATCGACGCCATCCTCGCGCCAGCGGCACCGACGCCGACACCGACACTGGCCGCGTCGACGCCGCCATCCCCGCCGTGCATTTGTGACGCCTCCAGACACAAAAAAACCTTCAACGTCGATGTCGAGGATGCCACCACGGTCGAAGCCCTGAAGAACCTGATCCAAAACAAGGTTGGCATCCCTTCCGACCGGCAACGTCTTATATACGGAGGGAGGCAGATGGTGGCGGAACAGAGGCTGTCGAACTACGGCGTTGAGAACGAGTCGACGGTGCACCTGACGCTCAGCCTCGGCGTGGGCATGGACGATGGCGGATCGCCGCGCCAAGAAGGGATGGACGAGGGCGCGGGGTTGACGCAGCCTGCGGCCATGCTCTCTCTGGCAGCAGCTCTGCCTGCGCCCCCCAGGATCCCTCCCACAGGACATGGCGGCGACCCAGCTGGCGCCAACTCCCGCGCCGGGATTGCCGACTCCGCCACCGCAACAAGCGCCGCTCCCAAATTCAACTGAGATACAGCTGCGGAAATTGCGAGAATACCGTAAGGCTTTACATGCGGACAACATCAAGGCAGGGAGGGCAGTCACTGGCAATCCAGCGAACTGGGAGGCTGCGTGCATTCTGCATTCGTTGGAGGACGTCCTGATTGGTTTGCGCATGATGGGCTTCAACCTAGACAGCGGCCTTCCGCGGGGGCGCCTCGGATTGTGTTGGGGGGAGGGCCCCCTTCCAGATGGGAGCCCAATCGAGCCCCAAGCCCGTCCGGCGACCGGCCTCCTGCGCGCGGCGGCTCGCCCCCAGGAGGGCACCGGCGGACGCCGAGCACGATGTGAGGACAAAAAGCGCGCCTCATTGATGAAGCTGGGCGTCGGTGCCTACAGCTGCCCCCAACGGTCCGGACTGCAAGGCGCCGAAAGGGTGAGCAGGGGGCCCCTCGCCACAAGGAGGTGGAGCTTCCATTTCTCGAGTTTCTGCGGGCCGAGTTCGACGACGAGCTGGGGGTGTTGGTTGCAGTGCAGATGTCCAACTTACAGAACGTCGACTTAACCAACGTGAATTGTCCATTGTTAACGGCCCTCTTGATCCATGAGGCTGCTGGGAAGGATGCTCGCACTGGGGCCAAGGCACTTTGGGAGTCGGGATCATACCAGCGGTGGGTCTGCTGGGCCCCAGGCGATTCAACGAGCATGGGGCGATGGACCTTCGCATTCAGGACGCTCCGTTCACTGTTGCCAGCGGCGCGCCTTACTCTGCTGATGGCTCGCCCAGTGATGTCTGGAAGTACCGCGCCTCAGGAGGTTCTCGATTTCTGGTCGCCCCCCTCGTTGACAGGGGAGTCTGCGAAATGCATCGAACCGTTGGTTTTCCTCGAGCCACCAGTGCGAGTAGTGACAGGGGGGCGATATGGCCCCAGGGATGTCGAACAGCACCTAGCTATGATCGCGCTGGGGGGGCCTTTCCGATGGCTTCCGGGCACCGACGGTCAAGCGATGGGATGGCGACGCGGCGCGTGGATTGGCCGAGGAAGCCGCGATCCTGGACTGCCCGGAGGAGGCCGAGGACGATCTGTCATTATTTCTTCGGGGCGCGCGGGGGCGGCAGACGAGTGTTGCGCGGATATGCGCCGGCAGGCGCAAACGGCTCGTTCGCGGATCTTCACGCGGCGCCGCTGCTTCGAGATCTTCGCGCGCGGCTGCGGGATTCTCGCGGCGCTGCCTTGGGGCGCGCCACGCTTATGCACGATCCCGGGGCCCTGGTCGTGGACTTTTGCGGAGCCCGGCGCCGCGGTGGCCGTTCCAGACTCACGGGGCCATCTTGCCTTACTCACACCCAACAGGGGCGCGCTGACCACATCCAGTCCTGCATCGGTCTGGGAGCGAACCCTGGCCCAGCAAGCGGTTGCCCGGCAGGAAGCGAGAATCACCGAGGTGGTCTAGAGGCGCAGTGCACGCGGAGGCAGACCATGGGCGTGACCGCAGGTCCCTTCCAGCGTCTCGGCGGCTAGCATGAGTGGAGATTGGAGAGCCATGGCGGGGCCCTCGCGGCGCGCTTTCCCGGTGCAGGTCAAGTGCGACACAGACCGCGACCCGACCGCGATCGCGCGGATCATCGCCAGGAAGTTGACGGAGTGCTCAGGCACAGGATGGGCGGCATTATCGACCGGGGAATTTGTTCGCCCTGGGCAGCTGGCTCCAATGGCGGGCCCCGCTGGACATTGGGGCGGGGGCGCGCCGGTGGAAGCGTCGACTCCCGCACAGACAAAAACTATCGCCACCATGCTCAATTCTTCGTGCGTCGCAGGGGCAGCAGGCGAACGCCGGCTTGCAGCGACGACGCACCGCGATTGCAGTTCGGCAGGCATCGCGCCGCAGCCTGGGAACGAGGCCCGGAGGCGGTGACTGGCCACCCGCCTTTCGGTTACCATGGCCATGGGGAACTCCATAAGATTGGGGAGTTACAGCGAGTGCCCCTTTCTCGAGCTGAATTTTTATGCGCAGCTTTTGTTATTGAATTCGAGATTGTCGTTGCGGGGGCATCTCTGCCACTCTCTCCGGCACCCTTGGGAAATCCTCCGCTCTGTCCTGAGCGTCCTCCACCGTCTGTGCCTATTGGGAGACTGGGAATTGCCACTGGGAACACTTCAATTTTTCAATCGAATTCATATGCCAACTCATCTTGTGTTACGTACTCTGGAGCCCCTTCTTATTAACTCCATTGCGGTTTATCTTCCAGCTATCCGACGATGCCCCCTAGTTTTTCGTCGGGGGTTCCAGCATGTGAAGACCGCCCAGCAGTTTCATCGACGTTGTGGGCTTCGGCTGCGCACGCGGCGACTGCTATCTCCCGCGCTGCTCGCCCACCATATTCGGCTTCAGCGCGGGGAGACGACTCCTACGCGCGCGAATCCGATGGCGCCAGTTACGGGCCCGCCACGGTTCCCACCGCCTCTGGTTGCACTTCTGCCGCGCGCACCATCGGCGCCTCGTTGGCCGTTGTTGTTGTAACCCGGGGGCCAGGGGGCCGGTTTGAGCAGGAAGATTTTCCCTGTCAAAAAACAGGGTGCGAGCGTCGAAAAAACAGTATGCACCGGTGGGGGGGGTCAACAATAATTATTTTTCAGAAATGAAAAGTCAACCACGCTCCCGCTCGAGACCTCCTTTTTTACTCAGGTCGCCCTGGGTCCTTCGGCTGGCTCGGAGACGCGCCCCAGATTCGCTGCGGCCTCCACGAAGGCCAATGCGGCCCCTCCCAACACGGTGTTTCCTGCGGAGGGGACGATTCCCCCCGCGGCCTCTATTGGCCACGTGCTCTACCGTGTTGGCGATGTTGTCGGATGCGTGCAATGCAGATCATTTTCTGGGCGTGCGCACATATCCCAGCTGTACAACGTGTGTGTGTGTGTGTGTGTTTGTGTGTGTGATTGTTTGTTTGTGTGTGTGTGTTTGTGTGAGTGTGTGTGTGTGTGTGTGTGTGCGGGCACCAAGGCTTTCGAGGGGAACCCTCAGAAGAAGTTGTGGCGAAACAAGTTCGCCTCTGGCCACACCCCAGCGATGGCCGCAGACATCCAATCCGGCTCCCCCGGCGTATGCTTGTGTCGGATCCTGTTGCGGAGTGGTTCGGCTTCGCTACATATATTTTTTGTAACCAGATTGTTTCTGGAGGTTTGGGCGGGGGTGGGTTTGTCGTCCCGCCTTCCCGATCTCCCATGTCAGCTCTCCTGACCTGAGTCTGCCACACTGGCCCATTGTTGGGCCCGTGTGTGAGGATATGTTTGGGACGGCCCTCGCGTGTTCCCAATTCGTTATGTGAGAGATTGTGCGTTTTTCTCCTTTTTCCCAATCGTTGATGCCCGTCCCGCGCCCTGACTCGGCGCGTCCCCTCATGCGTTCGCTACTCCTCTTCGTCGTCGTCGTCGTCCTCCTCCTCCTTCTCCCTCCTATTCCTCCTCCTCCTCCTCCTCCTCCTCCTCCTCCTCCTCCCCCTCCTCCACTTCCTCCTGAAAGCAACAAAACATCACGTGGAGGCCACGAAGGGCCTGAAGGACCGCAGCCTGAACAACAACACCAAGCGCAAGGCGCCCGGGGACGCCAGCCATCCTCCCACGCCTGGCCCAGCCAGGCACTGTATTTCGATTCGATCGGTCCCCAGACCTCCAACGTACAGTGGGGGCGCGCACCAAGAAACCATGTACTTCTCGTCAGGGTACCCTGGGCTTCTTCACTCCGCGAGCTGCGCGGTGCATTTCCGCAGCCGTCGAAGAGGCTGCTGCGGTGAGGGTGCTCTGGGTTTCCCCTGGGGTGCACCTCGCTCGCGGGTTTTCAGGGTTGGGTTTCTTGCGAAGGTTTCTTGCGGCCGCGCCCGCACTGTATTGAAGTCCAGGGGCCCCCACCTGGCCCTGGGACAGTCCAAAAAACCATGGGGCCCGATTTGAGAGCGTCGTGGAGCACTCTTGTGGCCTGTTCGGGCAATCTTCCGCGATGTTGGCGTTATTTGGGGGGCCCTTGGGGGACGCCTCTGAGACCATCTTTGGGACTCTGGGGGCCGTCTTGGAACGATCTTTGGGAGCATCTTTGGGGCTCTGGGGGCAACTTTGGGGACGCCTCTGAGACCATCTTTGGGACTCTGGGGGCATCTTTGGGGCAGAACGTGGGACAGACAGAAAACAATGACATTGTCAACAGTATCTTGTAATAGTTCCCTACCTAGGCTCTGCCTAGAAGGGTTCTTACTCTCTTATCTTAAAGGGGCCGGGCAGTGGAACACGCCCCGGGCGGTTCCCCCAGTCCCCTGGGAGCGGTTCCCCTCAGTCCCCTGGGAGCTTTAGCTTTAGCTTTAGCTTTAGCTTAGCTTTAGCTTAGCTTTAGCTTAGCTTTAGCTTAGCTGTAGCTTAGCTTTAGCTTAGCGTATCGCTCAGCTTTTCGCTTAGCGTTTAGCTTAGCTTTAGCTTAGCTTTAGCTTAGTTTTAGCTTAGCTGTAGCTTAGCTTTAGCTTAGCTTTAGCTTAGCTTTAGCTTAGCTGTAGCTTAGCTTTAGCTGAGCTGTTGCTCAGCTTTAGCTTAGCTTTAGCTTAGCTTTAGCTTTGCTTTAGCTTAGCTTTAGCTTAGCTTTAGCTTAGAATTAGCTTAGCTTTAGCTTAGCTTTAGCTTAGCGTTACTGTTACTACTAATGCTGCTTTCCTAGGGGTTCCAACTCCTAGGTAGGGTCGCACTGGGATATTTTGTTTGCATTGTTTTGCCGATCGGCGCGGGCCTCCCTCCCCCCCTCCCCCCTCCTCGAATGGAGTCGATCTTGGCTGTTTTTGGGCGCTTGTTTCGAGCGGGTGGAGTCTCCCCCCACAGGACGCACGGTTCCAAACAGTTGCATCAAGCAGAGGTCCGGAGCCAGACCCCCCCGCCCCCCTCTTCGCCCAATGGCGAAACGCCGAATAAGAAGCGCTGATTATCTTGTTCAATGTGGTTAGCCTCCTCCTGGACGCTGGTGAGGCTTCGGGCTGCGCAGAGACACCCCCAACCCCGGAGAGCGCGGAGCGGCCTGGGGGGCGCCGCCAGAGGCGGCGCCAGGGTGCCGAGACCGCCCCAGACTACTCTGAAGGTGTGCAAAAAATAGTCTTGGGACGACTGTTTCGACTATTTCGAGCATTTTCGTGGTATCTTTTTTTGTTCGTTCAAATTCCGCCTGTAGGGGGACGTGCCCGACCTAAGACTACTCGTTGGGCGTGTTGCGGCCAGCTGGGACTCCTCGGGGGGCCTGTTGAGGCCAGCCGCGTGGGGGGGGCTATCTGTGCGCAGCCCGACGCCTTACCACTGGACGCCTCGATTTGGGCGTCCTCCCGAGGCGTACGACGTGTTGGGCATCAACACCGGCTCCAAGAGCTTCGGCGTCACCGCCCTGGTTGGGGCCAGGAGCAACGAGGCCTCGGAGCGCGCCGAGGCCTTCATGGTCTACATGGTGTCGCCCGACGTGTTCCTGAAGCAGGGGTCGCAGGGAGGATCGGGGATGGAGGTCTTCGAGATCCTGAGATCCAGACGTCACAATTTGTTCACACCAGGCATTCACACCCAGTTTCGGGGCCCAGGACATAGCACGTCGATCCGGCTTGGAAAATGAAGCAGAAAGGTGGGGTCTAGGGCTCCGGAGGTGATTTGTCGCGCTGTTGCAGTTTTTCGCAACGTCGGATCTCAGGGGGCAGCTCTGATCACTGCTTGCTCCCCGGAAGCGCCTTCGTCGCCACCCCTGGGAGGGTCCCGGGGGCAGGGGTTGCTTTGTCGGGCGGGGCTAGGACGGAGAAGTCGTTTCAGAGCCTTCCAGAGCGCTCTCAGAGCCTGTGGGATGCGCCGAGAAGGCCGTGGCGCCCGACGTATCCTCCAGAATCGCTTGATGTCAGAGACTCCAGACGCATCCCTGTCCGATGCTGCCCCTGTCTTGGCTCCGTCTTCCTTCGAGGCGGCCCGGCGGGCCGACCGCGCTTCTCCTCCCCCTCCCCCTCCTCCCCCTCCTCCTCCTCCTCCTCCTCCTCCTCCTCCTCCTCCTCCTCCTCCCCCTCCTCCTCCTCCTCCTCCTCCTCCTCCTCCTCCGTAGCCATTTTGGCTCAAGTCCGTAGCGGTTGTGCTCAGACTTTGCATTTTGGCGTGGGGGAGGGACGGCCCCCGACTGCTCCGAGCCTCCCCCTCAGCCTGCCCAGGCTGGAGGCTCTTCGCTTTCACGTACACATACTTTCCGAGGTGTGCAGCCTCGAATGACCAAACAGCATGCCCCTTGGCTTCTTTCTCGTTTTGCTGCTGCCGACGATTGGAAGCTGGCCGCGGCAAAGCCTGAGTTCCTCAAGTGTTGGACATGCGGATGTGGTAAGAACAGGCGGACGGCGAACAACTGCTTCCAGTGCGGTGCCTCCCTCCACGCCCGAGAGCCCTGGGTTGAGAAGCCTGTGGTCCCCGCCGAGCCTCGGGCAGCTCCGAAACCAGGGCGCTGGCGCAACGGACGAGTGGCAGCGGATGGACAGGCGGGGGGGCAAGGGAGTTCCCAAGGGGGGCAGGGCCGAGGGAGGCAAGGGTCAGCATGGGGAGACGCGTCAGCCTCTTCGCTCTGGCCCCCAGTTTGCCAATGGCTCAGACCCCATGGCTTTCAATGTCAAGCAGATGCAGCGTGAGGAGGTCAAGCAGCTGGCAGCCTTGGCCGAGAAGAACGGCCTCGCGATGGTCTCCAGCCAGTGCAAGCTCCGCCTCTTGGAGCTGGATCGTCTGGCTACTGCTCCTGCCGCGCTCCCGCCCGAGAAGCAATTGTACAAATTGGTTGAAGAGAGAGACGCCCATGTCAAGCGGATGGAGAAATAACTCGACCTGGTTGACAAGTGGGAGAAGAGTATGGCTCGGCAGAGGCAGAAGATCCAAGATCTCAGCGACGAGCTGGACTCCTACGGCGCTCAGATTGCAGGCCTCAAACTCAGGCTCACCGAGCACTCCCAGCAGGCAGCCGACGCCGAGGCTGCCGCGTCTGTTGGTGCGCGCTTGGACTCGCTCCTGGACGGTTCTTTCAGGATCGGCTGTGGGAACCTGTTCGAGGTGGGTGACGAGGAGTATGAGCTGTCAGACACGGACAAGCAGGAGCTCCAGCAGCGCAAGCAGCAGCTGGAGGCGCTCATTGCAGACAATGCAAAATCGCTCTTCGCACAGGCAAAGGAGCACTTCGAGAAGCTCAAAGCCGAGCACGCTGCCCTGTGCTCCAGGCTCACGAAGAAGCGCAATACCGAGGATGGCACCGCGAGCGGGTCGGCAGGTGAGGCAGCGGCAGCCTCTGGCCCTGGGCAGGGCACCGCCCAGGCGCCACGGCCGCAGGCGGGCCCCTCGGTGGAGATGCCCACAGCGGTGCCCGATGTTCGGACTCGCGCTCGGGACAGCAAGGCCAAGTTGGAGCAGGCAGGGGGCCCCGAAGGCGCCGTTGCCTGAGAGGGCCCAGGCCCATGGTTCTGAGGGCGCTCAGCCAGTGCGCCCGAGAGGCCGCTCGCCGCTGGACATGTTGCCAACATTCTGGGCTTCGAACCCTGAAGACCTAGATTGGCCAGGCCTGAACTTCCCTGTCGCAGCTGCAGCTGGCCCAGACGAGCGGTTGCTGGCTGGCCGTTGGCACCCGCAGCCAGCGCCTGCGGCCATGGGGGGGCCGCCGAAGGGCGCGGGGGCAGGGGATTCAGCCCCCGACCGTCGAGCCCCCGCGCCCACAAGGACAACCCGTTCGGCCACCCGCTCTAAATCTACTGGTACGAGTGGATCGCGGGCGCCTTCTGCTGCGGCTGCTGGGGCCCAGGCCCCCATCGGGGCCAGCAGCGACGCCGCCGCCGCGGAGGCCCCGGCAGCCTGGGGGGCCGCCGCCGCCGCGCCTCTGGTACCTGAGGGGGCCCAGCCACATGAGCGACACGGAGGGGCAGAGGCCTCTCCCTCGGCCAGCGCGAGCGCCGCCGCCGCGGAGGCGCCAGCATCCTGGGGGCCCGCCGCCGCCGCGCCGCTGGCCACTGGAGAGGCCCAGCCACGTGGGCGACATGGAGGCGCCCCAGTGGGGCTCATGCGTCGTCACGCGGCCGGCCCCGATGGCACGCGCTGCTCGCCTCTAGCCCTAGCGGCATCTGAGGTTGAGCGTACCGACCATCGGGGGGCCTCGACTGGCGAGAACGCGAGCCTGAGCACGAGAGACCCCACAGGGGCAGGTCGTGACCCTCCCCCGCTGGGCACCCTGTCCACGGGGAAGTCATCCGTCGCCGTGAAGAATGATGGTGGAAAGCTCTTGGCTCAGGCAGAGGTCGTGACGGCGGTCGCCGATCAGCCACTTGCACTCAAGACAGGGGGGCCAAGGTCGCGGACCCTCTCAACGACGACGCGCTCACGCTGATCACGTACAACTGCAACGCTTGTTCGACGGCTCAGGCGTTCATGGAGAGGATGCACCACGATGTGAAGCGCGAGGTTCACCACTATTGCTTTCAGGAGACGCGTTTGCTGCAGGGGAGCGCGACGCCCCCAACCTCGTGGGCAGGCAAGGCGGGCTTCACGATGCACGCTGGGGCGGCCGCGGTCACAGGCGAAGGGGCCCTGGAGCACTCAGGAGGAGTGGCAATGCTGTCGCGGTCCTCGGTCGGGGCCAGGTCCTTGGAGGAGGCTTTCCCTGAGAGAGTGAGGCGCTGCCTGGTCGCCAAGCTGGTTTCAGTGACGTCGGATGTCCAGCTTGCTTTCGTCTCGGACTACCTGGTGGCGAACGGAGGCCTGGGCCCGACAAACCAGGACTTGCTGGCAATCTTGGGCGAGTTCATTGATGCATCGGAGTGGCCTGAGGTGGTCGGCGGCGACTGGAACATTCCTGTGGACGAGATCGCTGCCTCTCATTGGCCAGGCCGCCGGCATTCGCAGTCTGTTGCGCCCGAGGACGACACTTGCAATAGCAAAATCTGTGATTTCTTTATGATCTCGCAGTGTCTCCCCCCACATGGTTTTAGAGTCCAGGCGCTTTTGGACACGCCCAGGGGCCCACGCGCAGCGCTTTCCCGGCCGATCGGGCTTTGCTAAAGTGAGGCAGCGCGCTGTGCCCTGTGGTTTTCCGCTCGACCCACCCACCGATCCAGGCGGATCGATGGTCCCAGGGCCCGATCTTTCAGGCAGCGTTTGGTCTTGGAAAGATGGGCCCCTCCCTCCGAGGCCCCTGGGGGCTGCCAAGGAATGGTCTAAAGCTGCAGAAGTTTTTTTTGACCAGTTCGCACCAGATCCCAGCAGGGGACGCGGCCAAGCACTCAGGCCGAGCGCAGGGATGCCAGTTGCAACTGATGCCGCTCCGTGCAGCCTGGGTTCGCGAGCTCGCGCGCCGCTCGACGGCCAGCGCGGCGAAGTGGCGGCAGCTCCGACGAGTGCTGTCGCAGCTGCTAGGGCTGACCAAAAAGAATGGGGGTCGGACGGGGGTGACTTGGGGGGGGGGGGGCTCTTGAGGGTGCCCGATCAGGTCAGTCCCTGTTTGATGTCGGCGGAGGCCGAAGGGCTAAGCGCCATCTTTGGTCGTGGACTGCTGGAAGGTCGGCTGGATCCCGACAGGTGCCCAGGCCTCGTTGCCGCCATTGCCAGGGAGGTAGGTGCCAGGCTAGCCAGCGACGCGTCCCAGGCCAGGCAGGCTTGGCAGGATTTCGCTCAGCCTTCAGTGCTCAGGGGCGGGCGCGTCGCTCACTTTGGGGGCGAGGCCACGGTGTCAGGGCAGGTGGCTGGGGCCTTAAACTTTGTTGCTGTCGATGTGCAGGCGCGCAAGCTGCCGATCTCGTGGGACAAGGCGGGAGCGCTGGCCAACGCCAGTGCACTTGCGTCTGCCTGGACGGCAGAGCTGCCCCCGCGTTTGGCTGCCAGCCGAGAGTCAGCTCATAGAGATCTGGGGGGGGGGGGATGCGTCGGACGGTCGGGGGGTCGACTGGGATCGGCGAGTCTACTCGCCTGCCTGCATTGCAGCTCAGATTTCGTTCGCGGCCAGGCGCGCCTCGGCCCTCCGAGCGCTAAGCCGGCAGGGCGATTCCAGGGTCACCGACGCGTGCTGGAGGCCCCTACTAGATCTCCCAGAGGTGTGCAAACTGTGCGAAGGAGCTCGGGGAACCATGTTTCACCGTTGCTATGCCTGCCCCGCGCACAGTGCCTTTCAACAGGAATGCATGCCCACGGAGTTGGCCAGATCGGTCGACAGAATGGGGCAGAGTCCGCCAGCTTGGAAGGAACGGTTCGTGCGGGTGTTGTTTCTTGGGCCTGGCCTGTGCGTGGGGAGACCACCTCTCAGTCCAAGCTGGGGGATGCAGGTGCACGGCGCCCTCCAGCTGCCAGTCCTTCTGGAAGGAGGGTGCGTCTTCACATATGGGTCGGGCCTGGACCAGCGCCACCCGTCCCGCAGAGTTGCAGGCTGGAGCGCGGTGCCACGCGACTCCGACAGGTGCTACGTCGGAGCGATTTTTGGAGCAGTGCCGCCTGACATCGGCATCT